CTACTTTTTAATTTTATTTTATTGGTACTCTACTATATAATTAACTCACCTAAAAATGGTGAGGTTTTCTGGTTGCATTAATTCCAATCTACTCGATCAACAGAATCAAGTGATTGTAGCTTGCGGCAAAGGCAGGTCGGGTTTACCTGCCAGTGTGACTTCAACAATGCTCAGTATTCCACTCGAACCTAATGAACGCGTCCCACTGACGCTATGTGATAACCTCGAGATTGTTCACGTTCGGCGACAACGCATAGTGGATTGCAAGATTATAACTCGAGGCAATGGGCCCCTGTTGTCTTCAAGGACCCAGTTCTTGAAGACGACTCTTCTAACAATCCATGTGCCATCACTTCGAGCGTAAGTACTAGCGTGGATATAGAGTTTATTGATTCAGATAACGAAGGTAAAGTGGAAGGACTACCGACAGAACAAGCAGACATTGCACTAGATCGCCACCAAAACCGAGCTCTGGGAAAACGGAATCGAGAAGCAACTGTAGTCGGTAGCGAAGTTCGCCTAGACAACATCGAGATACCTACGGTTGAGATGCGTACTAACGCTTACGCCTCATCGTGTTGTTTCGCACTCTCCTATTGAACGCCAAGCTCAAGCCGCCGTCGCGTAACCATCACTACAGGGTAAGAATGCCCAGGCGGTCCTTGAATCAGCGCAACAACGCCCATGAACAAAGTTTCTTGCTATCCCTCCTGTGGTACGCGCGGCATATGCCATCAGTTTCGGTATTCGCGGTCTCTCACTGATGCACTTTAGACGGTTTTATCACGATGCGGAAACACATGCCCCTCTCAACATGACAAACTTCGGGCGTTCTAATACCCTGCAACCCGCTACAGCCCCTCGTTAGTATCAGCGAAATCGTCGATGCATTCGGTACGTTGCTGTACTTTGCAAAGGAATTCTACAACTCCACTGTGTATGATTTCATCAAAGCCGGCGCGACGTTCATGGAGAAGTACACCATGTTTTCTCGATCGGAACATGCTACGTGCAGCAAGTTGTTTTTCTGGATTAACTTGAAGCTGGGCTAGTTCCGCAGCACGACCATCACTGCGAACCTCGAGACAACAGCACGAGTTAGCAAAGCATTTACACCCAATGACGATCATCTTTTGCAGCTCCATCAAGCTCAGCAGAATCGACGTGTGGCAGCGCCATGTCAAAAACTATTCGCTCGACAGCGATAATGCGGCCAAGTCATCGTAAAAACTCACGCGTTCAGAAAGCAAGTACCGTTCCTCGTGACCTGCTGAGCATCCTACCTAAACAAAACAACAAGTCCAAGGGTATGTGCTATCTATCTAAGAATGGCTGCATCGGGCAAGCTCCAGGACTGTCCTACGATTCAAACAGCGCACACTTCAAGCCCCTCGCGCTACCGGTAGATGCCAAGACCTTCATTGAGAAAAATCTAATGGGCCTGTCAGAGGGGTTCAAAGATCTGTGACGCCAGGAATCATTGTCGGACTTGACCAGAACGGCGGCAAACGTAAACAAGTTTTCCATTTGTTTCAGTTCATAATTTTTTTTCATTAGGATCTCTCGTGAAAATCCAAAACAATGGAATGCTAGATCAATGCCCTGCGTACTCAACCTTAAAGATTGTTTTACAGTTCTGAAAACTGTAATACTAGTTAGATTTCTACTGGAGCCATCGGTCTTTAAAGAATATTATAGTTTTTAACATGAATATTCGAGTTGAAGTTAAAAATTGAGATTTTAACGACGATTTTCTTTAACCAAAAT